GAAGCAAGTTGCATTAGTGTTCTTTGATCAGTCGTTTTATCACAAGCAAGTTCATAATCAAAATCAAATAAGTTATGCAAATAGGCAAAGTCAGAATCAATAATTGGTAGTGAACTAGTGTTAGCCTGATTTTCTCTATGGAGTTCGCGCAAAGTTCTTTCATGTTCAGGATCAAAGTCACATAATTCAAGACAAGAAGACCTAGTAGTCAGAACTAATACAACAACGTAGCAGCAAATGCGAAAATGCCAACAATGTCCCTAATAGGCAGAAAAAAGCGAAAGAAGGAATATGATTAAAATAAATTCAGAAAAATACAAAAACACAAAATTTCATCTAATTAAGTGAAATAAGAATTTTTAGATTTTTTTTTTTGGATTTTTTCAAAACTGCGAAAACAATAAAAAATTCATTAAAAAATAGAAAAAGAGGAATTTGGAAATTTGAGGAATTTGGCCACTTGAAGAAAGAGGACGAGCTCTAATGAGTATGCTTCATACACCTTGATGCTATGGGAGGTGAGAGTCTCATGTATGAATGTACTATTAAACCCCATGACCTTCGAGGTGGCTAAAGATCTCCTATGAGGTTCCATTTGCAGGGATGTGTTCTACTTCAAAAGAGAGGAAACACAAGGATAAAATTTGTACCTTCTATAGATATTTTATCAGCTGCAACTCCTTAGCTTGATATTGTCCCGAGATTTGATTGGCGACCATCTTGGAGTCACTTTTAGCCTTTAGTCTGGTAGCTCCCATTTCTAAGGCGAGGATTATATCAGCGATGAGAGCCCCATGTTCTTCTTGAATGTTGTTGGCGATGAACTCGAACTTTAGTGCCTACTTGATAACTATATCACTATGTCATTCGAGAATTATTCTTGTACCACTTTGTTATGTTAGAGGCGAAGTCCACACACAACGCCCAATCTGAAGGGGTCCTCGTTTATGGGCGAGCTGAGTTCAGCTAAAAAAGTCAGCTAGGGCTTGAGATTTAATGCTTATTCCTAAGATGTAATGTGTATGGTATTCTGAGATATCTATCTCCCAAGATACCATTCTTCCTGACAGGTCAAGATTTTTCAAATCTTGCAAGACTGAATAATTACTTTTTACCAGAATGGTGTGCCTCTAGAAGTATGGCTTGAGCTTTCTCGTCGCGGTAACAATGACCAATGCCAGTTTCTCAATCTTTTGATAATGTGTCCTGGTGCCTTTGAACACATTTCTTATGAAATACATAGGTCTTTCTACCTTGTCTATTTCTTTAACAAGGATTGAGCTCATTGCCCGCTCAATAACAAAGAGGTAGAGAAGCAATGATGAGTCCTCCTTTGGGTGAGTGAGGATCGGGAGAGTTGTGAGGAATTCCTTGACCTTGGTGAAAGTCTCCTCACACTCGATGGTCTATTCGAACTTCTCCTTATTCCTCAGGGAGGCGTAGAAAAAGGAAAGCTTTGTCGCCTGCACATGAGAGGAAGCGAGAAGGAATGATAAGGTGTCAAGTAAGTTAATATACTTCTTTCACGTTCGTGGGGATCCTCATGTCAATGACCACTTGACATTGTCTCAATTGGCTTCAATCCTTGTCCTTGCTTGCATAAAACCTAGAAATTTCCTCGTCCGAACTCTGAAAGAGCATTTGGAGGGGTTTAGGTGCATATTATACCTTCTCACTGACTATATGATGCCCTCTAGTTTGTCGGTGTGACTATGTTCTTCCTCTATTTTGACAATCATGTTATCGACATATAACTTCAAATTTTGCCGTATCTGATGAGGCGAAAACCGCATACATGAGTTATTGGTATGTGACATAACAATTCTTGGGGCCGAAGGGCATAATACTGTAGTAGTAATTTCCATGTTCGACATGAAGGCAGTTTTAGACATATATAAGGGATCCATTCAGACCTAATTTTAGCCTAAGTACGCATCCATGAAACTTAGTATACACTAGCCTAACGACCAGTCAATTAGACGATCAATCTTTGGCAACGAATATGGATCTTTTGGACAATAAGCTTTTAGATGCATGAAGTCTACACACATGCACCATTTATTATTGTCTTTTTGTACCTGACCATTGGAGAAATCATATACCTCTATCTCGCCGTATCCGAAGAGGCTATTAATGCCTTCTTGATCAGAGTTCCAAATTCACATCAAAGTCTTGTGTATTTCATCTCTAAAACATTAGCCAGACAGGAGGCATGCCACAAGAACATCGAGAAGGCAAATCCAACATTAGTGAATGTGTCTAGGAAGATACATAGGTATTTTATGGTTATAGTTGTTCGAACAGACCTACCTATGAAACACCTACTTCACCGTAAATATTTTGTAAGACCACTGACTAAATGGTCCATTGAAATTTCTGAGTTCAACGTCTCCTTCGAGTCAAGGAAAGCTTAAAAGCACAACAATTTGCAAATTTCATAGCCGAAATTACTTATAATTTTCTAGAGCCAGCTCAATTACCCCCAACAATGGTGTTGGCTTCGTGACATAGGACCCCTTGTCATCTCCAAAAAGAGGGATGAGATGGTTGAAGAGAAAACTGTGACCTAGTTTAGTTATACCAGGGACCCCCAGTGGGCGCCATTATACTAGTCAAGTACACAAGTGTGTGTGTGTGTGTGTGTGTGTGTGTGTATGTGTGTGTGTTCTCCCAAATGGATAAGGATACTCAAAGGCCTTAATAGGTCTATAACACGTGATATGGTGAAGGCTTGCTTACGACAGTGAGAAGCCTTGAACAATGGAAACGACAATAGTAGGAGAATATGCATAAAAATCCACTGATCAAAACGAGTAATTTTGAAAATGCAGTTTACGGTAACGACAACTCGAGTATCTTTCTCAAGGATTCTTGTATTACCATTAACCAACATAAGCGTTTATGGGGGTTTTCAGTTTCGATTAACAATATAGGGGAAATAAGTGAATAAAATAAGCAATTATAAAATAAGCCAATCTACTATTTTTGGGTTTCATTAATCATTGGTTTCTACCTTACCAACTCCCTAAATGGCTTCGATCTCTATTCAATTTCAATATCAATTAACAAGCGCAATAGATATAGAATAGATTGACATTCCTATGTTCCGAATAAATCAAATGGATTAAATCCTCGTGAATTAAGCAAACACGAATTACAAACGCGAATTAACGACTAAGCGATGTAAACGACAATTAAAAGTTAGGGATGCAATCACACAGAATTAATTAAAACCATTCCATGTAAAAACAGATTAATCAAATGCAATTCATAGAACATAATTGAAAGAGAAACTGAATTGAATTGATAGAGTAAAAAACCTCAAAGCGTTGGAAACGCGATTATAACAGATTGAATGTTGGTGATTAGTTCTCCATTCAAGCGTGCAAAGCAAAAGTATTTTTTTTATGAATAGTAAAAACGAGATAGTCAATAGTATTCACGACTTCTAGGGTCAACAGAAACAAGGAGTTCTGTTTCTAACCCCACTGGGTCAAAATACATAAAGTACCCGACCCAAAATCGGCCCAAAACTAAAAGTTTCTAAAGTCTAAAACTTCAACGAATTATTTGAGACTTCTGCACTCCGAATCAGCTTTTAGCTTCAACATGAAAGTTATATCTCTTCCTCTTAGCTTTCCAACACATATCGGAACGCGTCAATCCGATTCTTGCAACTCCAGTTATTATTTTCACAAGAAAATCTGCTTATGTTGAAAATAAAATACAAAAATTAAATAAAGGGAACAATAAACTAACATATAAAAACACAATAAAATAGTGAAAATAATAAAACAAACTAAATAAATTCCTAAGTATAATAGTAGGAGAATGTGCATCAAAATGCATTGATCATGGATCAAATCACGTGAAGTTAGAGGCCCTGTTGGTGGCGGGCGCTACTTGATTGTAGGTTGGTGGTTAGGTTAGTCGTGGGTTATAGGTACATGGAGCGCGATACTCATTTATATTGTGTAAGTTGGGTATGACTGAGAGTTTGTCCTTTTTTCCCTTTAAGGGTGATGTATATATAAGGGTCTATAGGACCTAGAATTTCCTCATAAAGGGCCACCGCCCACTCAGTCAAAAAATGGACAGTTGAATCCCTATTTATAAGGGAGTCATGGGTCTGTTAATGACATTGACTTTCCCTCTGTCCCAGAGAAGGTCTTATCTCATTTTTTTCAATGTATGAGTGAGGGAAGACCATAGCAAGGCGATACCTCCCTCTAGGTGACCTTTTATCATCACCTCTCTTGAGGAAGTCCTACGACATAACCCTAGGCAAGACCTTTTGCAAATATAACATTACACACTTCACTTAATTCTTATTGGATATGAGGATTGAGACATCTTCAAGTCAGATGCCATCACAAAAGAATATCATAATGATCATAAACCAAACTCTATAGCTTTATTTAGAGGAGTAACTTGATTAACCATCTTATGCATCTTCGAACGCTTGCAACACCTTTAGCATTTGCACGTCTTTATATGTTGTTGTTATCAAAGTCATATTATATCTTTATGAGTCGTCATCAAAGTCATGTTACATCTTCGTGAGTTGTCATCAAGGTCATGTTATATCTTCATGAGTTATCATTAAGGTCATGTTACATCTTATTGAGTTGTCATCATCAAACTCATGTTGTTGACATGTATATGCATGTCTTGCTTAACTTTGATTCACTCCCCGATTAAACATAAAAGCATATAGTCCACATTCTTTACCGTGCTTCTTTTTGTGGTGATTATATTCTTTATGCGCTCCGGCCTCCCTCTTGCAAGTATTTCTGCAACGGCCTCTCTGGATCAATTTCTCAATTTCTTGCTTCAAGTGGTGAAAATTGTCAATATGGTGACTATGCACTCTATTGTTGTTGTTGGTCGCTTTGAACATGATGGGGGTGAGATCGATGATCTGAAGACTTTTGTGTGGCACATAAAAATTTCTAGAGCCCTATTAAAGGCGGCACCAAATGTTCACGCAGAAATTAATAATGGATAACTCATCTGATCCAGGTCATAATTTAGAAAGAATTATAGTGAGTTATTTTTTGTGTAAGAATTACTCATCATAATGGGCATTAATGGTCATTGATTTATCACTTATTACACTTGTGAAACATACTTTGAATGAGTTGATGTCACATAATAACGGTTCTTAAATGCCTGCTTACCAATATCTCACCTAGGACAACCTAAAGTGAATTCTTTTTATTTGAGCTTCTTCATTCTTGCATTACTGCTCCAATACATATCTTAATATTTTAGAATGACACTCTTAAACATGAAGTCCAATAGAGCAAGATACTTAAGAAAAAAACCTTTTGAATAATTCGACGTATAAATCAAAATTCCAAGTCAAACCATTGCAATTTTCTAGAACGTACATAATTCAAACTTCAAAATTTCTAATTAAGGTTTTCATCCAAATATTTTTTAGTCATAATTTTTTTTAAAATTTTAAACATTATAATTTTTGTTATATATTATGTGTGGTTTGATTATGGGCATGCTTGTTCTGTTTTAAAAAAAAAAAAATTTTTATAGTGTTACATAATTTTGTATAAAAATATTTTAAAAATTTTTTTTTCATAAAAGCTTCAAATGAAAATTCGGTTTGAATAATTATTCTTAAAATGTTATTTTAAGTATTTCATCTTCTTATTGAAAATTTTTTTAGATATCAAAATTTCAAAAAATCACTTAATTTTGTAATTATTTCAAATAAATTTTCATAAAAATTATTTTTGAAATATATTTTTTTTTTAAAATAACGATTTTAACTATATTTTGATCTTCAATAATATATATATATATATATATATATATATATATATATATATATATATATATATATATATATAATATTAAAATTAATGTTTCAATTTAGAAAAAATATATAAAAAAACTTAATATTTTAAAAAACAATTTTATAAAATCTATTTTAAAAAATATAAAAAAAAAGTCTTTTTTTTTTATAGTTAAAACTGGTCTATATAAATTTTTTTACCTGTCCAAATCGTTTATTCTAAAACATTCTTTGGAAGATGATTCACATCAAGCAAGGCTGAAATATTTACTTTATTATTTATTCTTGTCTTTCTTATTTTCACTTTTTCTTACAAATAAATATTTTCCATTCACAATTGCCAGCTCCCCATTCATAATTGCCAGCTCCCCCATCCATGTCGTACTTGAAGCGCTGGACACCAAACCGCCATGACTATTATTTTACAAAAGTACCCTTGTAAATGGTTTTAAACGGTACAGATAATAAACGTAACTTCCCCTGCTGCTAACGTGCCGCACCAAACGTTACACGTCATCAAATAAACACGTCAACATAAACAATCCCAGCCGTTCATTCCCCAAAATTAATTATAAAAGATCGAGAATACTCTCGTTTATTCCATTCAACTCTTTTTAGGGTTTCGTCCCTCTTTTCGTCCTTCGCTTCGATTTCAGATATTTCTAACATCGTCTGTAATTTATCTGTTTAGCGTCGATCGATACCCGATTGATATTTACACGCCGATTATGGTTTTTGTCCAGGTACGAACTCTTTTGGATCGATTTTTGTTTTGTTCCTTGTAGGTTTTCACGATCCTCAATTGTTAATTATTGAGTGTGTATTCTCTTTTCATATAGATCTGATTCTCCATCCATCAGATCCACGATGAATATGTGCCATCTTCATGCTTGTCTTGGTTTCTGGAAATTTTCAGAGAAATCCTTGGTTCTTTTATAAATCAAGGATCCTTAGTTTTTTTTTTGCAGGTATGGCGGTGGATCGCAGAGCATACCGGAGACCAAGCAATATTACGGAGCTGCAATTTTATAATATTGGATGACTCAACTTCTGAAGTGTATATGCTTCTGTGAAGTTTGATCTAAGATGTTGCTGATCTTGGATATTGTAATTATGTAAATGATCGAGAGCTTTTCAGGAGAGATAGAATTGATGTAGGATGATGTATCAGGATTATATGCCTCGATGCGTTGAGCGTGTTGAGAATTATATTCTGAATTATCTTGTCATCCGACCTTTGCCATGTCAGGTGCGCTTGCTTGGCAGGTCAACAAAATAATAAAACAAGATTTGTTGGTTTTGGGGAGAGATCGCACGGGAATTTTGCCCGGGTTCTCTTCCTCGTGTGGTGTTTGCCTTGCTCCTTTTTTCTCACGCTTCTTTATTTTATTATGTAACTCGCTTGCACTACTCTCCCTCGCACAACGCGTAATCATCTATGAAATTCTCCGACTCCATTTCAAGGTATTATTCATCAATTTTTAATGGTAATTATCAACGTCAGTTGATTTAATTTGATATTAATTTAGATATCAATTTAATTATCAATTTTAGTTGATTTGTTTTAGGTTGTTCTTACGAATTTTTTAATTTTAATTTCAATTAATTTATATTTTAAATTTGAATTTGAATATACAGCATTTATTGAATTTGAATATCTATATGGGTGGTAATATGCCCCAAATATTGTAGTGTTTTATGGTGACGCTTTCATATAGATATGTAATTCATTTCATGGCTCTATTAGTTTCATAACTTCAGTCTAAATTGAAATTGATAACATCCTAATCTGTTGTAAATTTATCTCAAATGTGATGTACGATTGTAGCCTCTGTCAGCACCTGTGCATCATTTGTTCACAGATATTCATTTCATCTGTAGTGAGATGAACTTATGCTCTGGTCACATATTTATATTAGATCTTCATTTGCAAATTACCATTTAACAATATCAACTCTGGCACTGTATTTGCATAGTGAAAACAACAACCCTGAATTCTGGAATGAAGAAATGCTTCGGATTCAGGAAACTTGCATTTAGTTCCATACTCTTCAATCTCAAGGTGAAGATGACTAAAGTTCTCTGAACTATGTTAAGCAATGTAATGTTTATGATTCGATAATACATATTGATATTTTCAATTTCTAATTCTAATTACAATAGGAATAGGTATTCAAAGTAGATGGTTATTCTGAGAATTTCAAATTGAAAGTACTTTATTCTTTTGTAAATCAAGGTTGTAAGGTTTTTTTTTGCAGGGGTTGGAGGCCGACTGAGTATTAATTAGATGGTTATTCTTGAGTTGTAGTTGCTGCATGATGTTTCATACTTCATACACAGATGTTGCAGAACTTAGACATTTTGATTATGTATATGATTGAGAGCTTTGCGGGAGAGATAGAATGGAGGTAGCATCAGGATTATATGCCTCTGTGAGATCTTGTCATCCGACCTTTGCCACGTCAGGTGCGCTTGCTTGGCAGGTCAACATAATAGTATAAAAAGATTTGTTGGTTTTTCGGAGAGATTGCACCGGGATTTTGCCCTCGGATCTCTCCCTCGTGTGGTGTTTGTCTCTCTCTTATCATGCTTTTTATTATTACGTGCTTTTATTATTACATTACTCGCTCTACTACTCTATGTAGCACTATGCATACTCGTCTAATAAACCTTCAGACTCCATTTGAAGGTATTGTCTATCAATTTCAGTCATAAATAACAATTTATATTAATTTGGATATCAATTTAAGTGTCAATTTTAATTTTAGTTATTGTAGGTTGGTCTATTAATATCAATTTCAGAGTGTTCAGTTCGGATTTAACGTTGCATCAGCTTTCCTATCACTCATCAGTAACTTTCAGTTTATAATAATTTGAAATTTATTGTTCAGTTCATCACTCATCAGTAACACCAATCCAGGTACATTATTTTGTTGAATTTGAATATTTACATGGAGGGTTATGTTTTATGGTTAAACTTTCATACAGATATGAAAGTCGTTTCATGTCTCTATTAGTGCATCTATAGTCTACTGTGTATCTATTGTATTGTCCCGTGTGCATCTACTGTTAAATGAATTATGCCTTCTAAATAGCTTGATCACAGGTATATGTCATATGTTTATTTTGCTCATTACCATTTGCCTACACCAACTAGGGGACTGTAATTGTATCATGAGAACAACCATCAATCTTCAGTCAGGGTGAAGATGACTAAAGTTCTCTCATCTATGTTAATTTTCATAATGGTTCCTTAATGCAATTTTATGTTATTTTTCCATTTCTAATTCTAATTATAAAAGTATTAGACTTAGTATTCAACTTATATGGTCATATGTTTATTCTTAGATATGGTTATGGTTGTTGTTCTGAGAACTTCAAATTGATGCTGGTATATTTAAAGTTGTAGTATTTAATCTTATATCATTGATTTCATATTAGTACTAAAATAATGTTTTTGAATCCAGAATATGAAATTAATGAAAGTTATAATATGCACTTCTGTGTTACAAGTGATGATGATGCCTTTGTGTAGACTTATTATTTTTTCAATTAGTATTGTCAATGATCAGTTTAATCGTCCTTTTTTTATGTTAAACGTGAATGGGGATTCCAGAGATACATTTGGACATTTCTTTTTTTGTTATGTCCAAGATTTGCTGTTACTTTTATAAAGTACTTTCAAAAAGAACTTGTTTTTATGTAGTTCACTGTCGTTTTTTACTGTTACTTTTTTATTTGGACATTAGGACTTTTTTTATTATCAAATTTTCAAAATAAATGTTCTATCCAATACTGTTATTTTGAAACAGCAAATTGTTTAAATTGTTTAAATAAATGTTTGTTCATTTTTAAGGATATCTTGAAATCCTTTTCTCTTAAAAAATTATAACTTTGATCTTTTTCAGAAAAACAAAGTTATATAGTTTTTAGATTTATCGAAGTTAAATTTTGCCAAAGTTTTTTATATAGAAATTTGAATATTGTGTTTTATGCAGAGAATAGAAACACGAGTGTGACAATTATTTTAATGTAATGTGATGGATAGTGGATTTTTTCTCTTTTTCCCGGAAATAGAACTATCTTTTTCCAAAAATTTAGTTCCTATTTTTAAGTAAAAGTAAGTTTTCAAAAGTTTGATCTTTTTAGAAAAACAAAGTTATATAAATTTTTGATTTATCGAAGTTAAATTTTGCTAAATTTTTTTTAGAAATTTGGAAATATTGTTTTATGCCTAGAATAGAAACATAAGTGCGACACTTATTCTATGTAATGTGATGGATAATGGATTTTTTTCTCCTTTTCCCGAAAATACAACTATCTTTTCCAGAAATTCAGTTCCTATTTTCTAGTAAAAGTAAGTTTTCAAAATCAGAAGTTCTCTATCTCAAACCTTTAAGCCACTTTATAAATATTTTGTTTATTAAATTTAGGGACTCTAATTAATGTTAACAGCAAAATTTGACAAGATGGATGTTTTTTAAACTAGTATTTGCCCAAATTGGCTTCCTAAACAAATAAAGATTTACTTTGAAAATTGTTTGGTGTTTGGTTTAATCTTATGAGTTTAAAGATAATGCCAATCAAATTTTTTATATTTGCCATAAATAAAATGTGATGTTTGGTTTAATCTAATTTATATGTAGATGTTTTGAAGTGGATTTTCTAGTAATCAAGGCACACAATGCATGTTTTGAGGCAAGATTGATGGAATGATGGTGAGTGACTTGAGCGAGACTGTCAGAATATTGGTGACCAACTGCAACTTTGTACTAGTATTAGTGAATCATTCTACTCAGGTAAGTCCTCAGGATAATTTCTTGCTTTGCCACCCTTGGAACTATATCTTACATCTTCAGCCCCATCTTGACCAAATTTCAACCAGAATGGCAAATTCTGGGTAGAGGAATGAGGATAGCCCTATTCTTTTACACTACGCTTTTTTTCTTTATTTCTTATTATATAATTTGTCATTTGTCTTGCAGATTTGAAAAGATGAAACTATTTGAGAAGTATTTACTAATATTTAATTGGTTTTATGGGATGAGAAATTTCTGAAGATTTTTTTTTTTTTAATTTGGAACAATAACCCTGGTTATTTTTCTTACCCATCATTTTCATGAAAGATCTGTTGCTCAAATAGGTAGAGCGCTCAGAGCATTTTGGAATCTCTGAGTTGATGGTTCGAATCCATCCAGATTTACAAAATTTGTATACTTTTTTTTATCTATTTTGGATGACGATAGTGGAGAAGACTGTCCGATCAATGTTGTTGTAGACACAAAATGGTAATATTACGATGAAAGACACCAACACAGTAGGTGGTGTATGGTAAGATTTGTTATAAGCATATCCAATATGTTCGTAAATATATGTATGGCTCCTGAGTTTTTGCCGTGTTTGGTTATTATGTCGGAGAATTGTAACAATTTTTTTCATAAGTTACTGAACTTTTATCCGAATCAATTTATTCATAAATATCTTGGTACACTTATGGTGGTGTTTCAGTCCAATTGTTTGGTTCTCACTTTGCTAATACAGTATTTTAAAGTAAATATCTTGGTACACTTATGGTGGTGTTTCAGTCCAATTGTTTGGTTCTCACTTTGCTAATACAGTATTTTAAAGTTTCAAATTTGTCAGGCCATTTATATCTTCCGCAATCACATTTGCCAAATAGGTAATTCTACTGATTTCGGTGCCATTGATAACAATTTTCAAAATTGGGAGCATATCCCTTTTTCAGCTAGGACAAACATTTTAGGAGTTCTTAAAAGATTGTGTCCTTATTTAAAATTTATTAATGAGTATCTATTGTGAGTCTTGTCAATTATCCAAGCATCAATTTGAAGACATAAAACAATATTTCCAATGTGACGTCTTCAATAATGTCACAATAGATACTCATTAATAAATTTGAAGACGTCACATTGATGATGTGTCAGTGTCAATCTAGGTCAAACAAATTTTTTATTAAAGATTTATGTTTAACATGTCAATCAATGTGAGTTCTATATTATTAAAAATTGTCTTCATATTTACAAGGGAATTAAAATCTTCAAAAAAACTAAAGTAAATGAACTAAATTTACAGATTTTAATACTCTTTGCTAGTGTGTGACTCATATGATTTTCTTAACTTATACCATTATATGTATTTGTCCAACTACTATTGCAACATATTTTAAGTTCTTTGAGCACACATGTTATGGAGGAGGAAATGAAGACTCTTGAACATAATGTCAAGCAAATTATTGGATGCAAAGGAGTTTATTACTGTCAAGGTACATCAAGATGACTTTATGGCCCACTTAAAAGTACGATAAATTGCCAAAGGATATGCCCAAACATATGAAATTGACTATACTAATATTTTTTCTTACGGCTAAACATTCATTTATTTGTATCATTATATCTCTTGTTCCTAAGCACCCTTGACCATTGTTTCAAGTATATGTCAAGAATGTCTGTGTATGGTGACTTATAATGTATATATGGATCAACCACCTGATTTTGTAGCTTAGGGGAGCATGCACATGTGTTTTGTTTAAAGAAACTATTATGTGGCTTGAAATAATTATATATATTTTAATAAAACCCACTGTGAAAGTGTCTTACTTGTAGTTACTTGTCGAGGATATTGTAATTATAAGAAGTGAGAAAAACGGAAGGCTTTCTTTCAAACAAAATTTCAGAACAAATATTTGAGAGTCTTGGAGTATTTCTTGGGTATTAGGATTATGTATTTAATGTGGATTTTATCATCATAAAGGAAATATATTATGGATCTATTTAGTGAAACTGGTTTAATCTATTCAAGAGCGGCCAAAGGTCTAATAAAGAGGACCCGCTTGTTGTTTAAAAGAAAGTCCAATGATTACATGATAAATGTGCGTGCGCACACACACATATATACTACACATACTTTTTATATTTCACTACATCTCTTTTAGAACTCATTAATTAACTAGGGCGTAGGAGTGCTCCTAGCATGTGTGTCCCCATAATCATTTGCACCACAAATTTACAGCACCATATCACGAGTCTATTATACAAATTCATGTGTAATCCTAATTTCGATCTAAAAGAGTGGTACCATCTGCGCGAATCGGTCATTGATTCTCGTGAAATTCTATAATTAGATCCCGTTTGATCCAAATCCAAATCATTAAATATTACATCGTGATAAAGAAGGTAACTATCGATTTTGAACTTGAGAACTTCTTCAGACCGTCTGACCTAGTGTTGCCACTGATTTTCGTGGTCGACAAGACCAGAGAGATTTCACTAGAGCAATAAGATCTTTTCATGCTGGAATTTGCTTGATACACGACACAAATCTAAGAACGATAAGATGATAGGATAATTTTAGGCTTTGGTGATCATGTGAAGGTAGATGAAGTCCCTAATGCTAAATTTACATTAGTTATAACCACTATCACAGTAAATCATGTCGTAATAGGCCTCGTAATCAATGTCGGAAGCACATGCAACTTGATGTAGATATTTCAGAGATAAGGTCTACAAATACAAGATCTAAAACCATGAGAATACATGACCCTCCTATCATTCAATGATTCAACTACTTGATCGTTCGAAATTGTAGACATGACAATTTCTCTCGAGGAATGAGAATGTGAGCGAAGCAAAAATGTATCCTTATTGGTAGTTCATTGTGAAAGTATTTTCAATAGTATCCTTGGAATGCCTTTCCTACCAACATTGGATGTGGTGGCCTCTCTTGTCCACCTCGAGATGAAATATCTCAGTAGTGGTGGCAAACTGATCACCATCATCACTGATCTGCATGAAAAGCGCCATATCCATAAAATGATACTAAAAAAATACTTGAGACTACTTCAACAGTTGTAAAAAATACCCATTGGGGAAGTCCATGTGGCTGATCTCAATGTTTGGGAAGACAAGGTCAATCTAGACAATAAATCCACTTCACTCGCCTTTATAAGGACAACAGTGTTAAAAAATTTGCCGAATGGAGAAATGGAAGTTATTCGTCTTGATGGCAATCCTTTTCGGTCAATAAAGATAGGCGTCGGTCTCCCAACCGAGGTGAGGGAATGTCTTCTCGAATGCCTAAGAGCCAACACCATCCTTTTTTCCATTTCACCATATGAGATGTCTGATATCGATTTGAGCGTATCTTGCCATAAGTTGAAAGTCAGTCCTAAAGTCTGGTGTGCCTCTTAATGAATGAGTAGTCAATCATTCGAGAAGGCTGAAGCCACAATTAAGATCATGCAAAGGTTGCTGGACTCCAACTTCATCTTTGAAGTAAGATACACCAAATGGATTTCTAACATTGTATTGGTCACACAAAAAAGCTTCAAGGAAATGAAGAATATGTATCGACTACGTAGATCTCAATCGGGAATGCCTTAAAGATTCCTACCTCGTTCCGAACATAGACAAGTTGGTGGACAATTCACCCGAATGTGTATTCTAGAACCAAATACCCATCTACGAGCCAAAGAGAGGAAAAATGTGTGTATTTGGCTAAAAAATGTTGTTTGCAATATAACTGGAGATATAGGAAAATAATTTATTTTTATTATTTTGATTCAGTAAGACTTCGAGAGCCTTGTGCCTACGTACCACCAATGTGTAATTATGAAATCAGAACCATGTAGTTCTTCTGAAAAAAGAATAAAACTTTGTGTGTTAGTTGATTTTAAATGAAGAGACAAGTCGTTATTTTTAGGAGAAGACTCAACTAATCACCCACGAAATATGAGAAAGAGAGACAATGCATCAACATGGGGGGGGGGGGGGGGGGGGGGGGGGGGGGGACACACCTCTAGTACTCAAATGAAAAAGTTGACATGTTTTTGATAATGACTTATAGGGATAGGAGAATGACATCTCGACTATAAATGATACATGTCTAAACTTTATAAAAAAAATTAAAGGAAAATGGTGCACAAAGGCATAAAAGATTTTAATGAAGTTTGTGTTTTTGTCTTTTTGAAAGTGTTTTTGATATGCTTATATGGTTTATAATTTATTAAGAAAAGAAGTTTTGAAAATTCACTTGACAAGGTCAAGGTTTATTATGAAAGTGGTTCAAGTTTGAAAACAAGAATCCTTTGAAAAAGAGAAAAGATTTTGAAAATTAAAGAAGTTTAGTGGAAAGAAGAGAAAATGTCAATTGCAAAACAAACTCAACTTATCAAATTAGTTAGGGGCTTGGTATATGGACCAAGCATGCATGCGGTGGTTGATCGCGATTGCAAAGCAAACTCGACTTACCAAAGTGGTTAGAGACTTGGTATGTGGACCAAGAGTGCAGGGGTTTGATTGATTTAATTAAGTGTACAATAATGAATAAGCGAATAAAAGCAAAATAAAACTATTAAACTATTACACATCTAAAATGGAGGATACACTTGTTGAATCATGATAGACAAATAAAGCACTCAAGCATAAACAAGGTGGCTCACACAAGCAAAAATGATAGAGCAAAATGAATGAGTTCTAATTTTTAAGTGCACTAGCAAAGTGGGCTAGTCTTCTAGATGACTAATTGGAACAATTAATTGACTAGATCTAACTGTAGGAAAGCCCAAGATCAAGCTATGAATGTGTGTGTGTGTTTCAGTGTGCATGTGTTTCATTGAAGACGGGCACAAGAGGAAACCATGTGAGGTCGTTTGTGATGTTTAGAAAGCAGTCGACTTATGGTGGAAAATTGGCTCACATCGAGAATTAGTTCTTTGAAAAGTTTGATGCGTGAGGATGACGAATAATTAAAATAATGCAATAAAGTATAATCAAGAGGAAAGCAATAAAATTATTACATCACCATGGAAATGGTGGTACACTTGATTGAATGGGGATGACAATAAAGTAAAGTATAATAAAATGAAAACGATAAAGATTATTACATCACCATGGGAATGGGGGTACATTTGATCGAATGAGTATGACAATAAAGTAAAGCATAATAAAAAGAAAGCGATAAAGTCAATTATTACATCACCATGAGAATGGAGTTAAACTTGATTGAATGGGGATAATGATAAACAATAAACACAAACCCAAATAAATAAGCATACACAAATAGATTAAACACTCAAATAAACATCTAATCATTTAATTAAAAATGCATGAGTCTCATGGTAATAAAAAATTAGATTAAACTATATGAAATTAGAATGATCAAGCAAATATACAAATTGAAATTTAAACAAACAAAGAGCAAGAAGTTAATTTGAAATCAAGAGAATTTTTTTTTAACAACTTTTATATGAAAATACTTATGTATATAAAAAAAAAGAGTCTAAACTTAATTAATTAATTTAAAAAAAATTAACTATATGTTTTAGTTTATTATTAATGATGATAATATAAAATAATAACCTAAAAACAACTAAATAAATAAAACAAGGAAATGCTGAGCCTGGGTGGTGTGAACCAACTAAAAAAAATTAACTATATGTTTTAGTGATTAGAATCCAATGTAGCAACTTATCATTATACAAAAGTTCATATTTCAACCAATACTCAACTCATGTCATTATTAAACCATGACATACAATTAATCAATTAAGTATGAACCAACTTAAACACAGTAAGCAAATCATATGCATGATACAT